GCATCGCTCAAAGTTAAGAGGACAAGCGAAAGTATTTTCAAGGAAGATTTGCCATCAGAAAGGCAGGAGAAGAAATTGCAGGAACACATTCTAAAGCCAAAGTGGTGAAACAAGCAAGGGTCGTCAACATGCAGAGAAAGATGCTATATCTTTTTTTTCTTTTTTCTTTTTTTTTTTGGGGGGTGGGGGGGAGGATGCTAGCTTTCGTCTAGCGCGGTATTGTCAACTCAAAGTAAAGCACCTACAAAAATTAAACAAAAGACCCATACCAGATGCTCGATACATTCCCTGTCTTTCAAGTTTAGTAGCAGAATTCCCCAAAGACAGCACATCAGGAACCAGTGGGTATGTCCACCTCTGAATTATGTCCTTACTGATGGTGTCATAACCTCGGTAATTGTCAACTCTAGCCGCATAGCTTGAGTGAATTTCATGAGTGAAAATTTTGTAACCCATAATCTGAAACCATAAGCACTTAGCTCTGTGAAAATGCAATTATACCAAAAGGTATAACTAAAACAGGAATTTCCATTCGCTACTAAAATGGGGACACACAATGCACTAGCACGCATATCCACCATTGCATGTGACCACAAAGTTTCATGAAACTAAGTCGAGTATATTTGCGTAAGATAGAGGTCAAGAGCACAGACTAGAACATTCATAGGGAGAGAACTTAATTAGCACATAGGTTATGAGAAACATGTACATCATCAACAAGTAGTCCTTTCACAAAATGCCGACGAAGATGTTGATAGTCAAAATTGTCGGTGAAGAGACTGAGTACTTCAGGAGAGCAGATGTCTATATAGCAATCCTGCAAAGAAGACCATCACATATTAGTAATATATTAATCAATTATACAATTAATTCAGAAAAGCAAAGTGTGCGAACGCAAGCGGAACATAGAAGAGGTAACTTTCATTGGAGAAACCTGAATGTCATTATGAAGAGTGATTGAGGCATTATCGACCAGCAGCATCTTGTCAATAGACAAAGTCCCTTTTAAATGGTTTGTGTTCTCCTGATAATAGAGCAGCTGCTTTGTAGCAGGATCTATACCCATAAACAGCCCATCCGTTCCAAGACGAGATTGTTGAGTGATTGGAGAAGGTTTTGATCGTTGAATGACCATGGTCATTACAGCATTACTGTCCTTTTTCTTTCTCTCTTTATGTTCTTGGAGTGCCCTCGTCAATGACATATTGCTTAGTGTATCTCCACTGATAAGGACAAACTCCCCATGTATCTTAAGAGGCAAAAGTGGCATGGATCAGAGTTGCTACATATTTAAAATACAGAAGAAGAAATTTACCACTGGTAGCAGATTAAAAAGGCTCCGAAAAATGGATATAATAATGAAAGAATCACAAACAGGCTCATAGATTATAAAGCCATTTTACAAATATCCCATCCTTTCTAGGGGAAAGTCTGCATCCATCTACATGCAGTCAAAAACACAAAAGCCGGTTTTAAGTTTCCAATTTTACTTTAGATGAGTGTTCATCGACTCTGATATAGCAACCACGCAAATCATGCAGCATCCTAAAAAAGCACTCGGACATGTTGTAAATCACTGCAAGAAGTTCTAAGGAAAAGCGGACAACTACAAAGTTGCACATGCACAGTAGCACCCTTCATTTACTAACAATATCTGGTCGTTTCCCCCTCGATACACGAAAGACCGGTGAAGTATCAATATCAATATGGAGACATGTTATACATTTGAATGTGAAAGCAATAGCACTCTTCAAATAGACAGTCGACGCAGTAACAGGTGTGAACTGCTGCTTTGACTCTGAGAAGGGAGAATTTTATTGGATCAAGCAATGCACCTTTTTATAGAAGTGCCAAAGAAAAAGAACTCCAAGTGAAAATGAAAAGGACAAACAGAGTAAAGAAAGTTACCACATTACGCTCGTATATCACTCGAAGAGCATCTCCCGCACTAACAGAATTGTGTGACTCAATTGTTGTGACCGAAAACTTTGGTTGTGAAAACCACTGGGAATTCTCCAAGTAGCTTGTCACTTGCTTGGCATGAGCACAGCAGAATACAAAAACTTCTTCAACACCAGCAGATTCAAGCCATGCTAGTGTATACTCTATCATCGGGATATTTACCAACGGCAGTAGCACCTTCAATAACAAAAGGCTCATGTGACACCAAGGATTAAAATGCACATAATCGATTTGATAATTCAGGAGGAATTTGCAGGATCTAACAAATAGAGTATTCCAATAAAACAATTAAAAGGTAAACCCAGCGAAAAAAAGTAAAAAAAGGCAGGGGACATGCTTCAGCGTGTCAGAATTGATGTTCAACTTTTTCAGATATATCATTTATTCATGAAAAGCAACAACAGGAAGCTGGATCGAGCCAGGTACAAGTCTAAAAAAACCACAATCCACAGAATAAACATTGACAGTTAATAAATAATTGAATCCTCATAAGACCCTGCTGAACTAATTCGTTTGGAAATCCCAAGATACACCAATTTCTGCAACAACATCTACCTCTCCCTTCCCTAAACAATGCACGGCAAATGCTCTGATGAGTCATTGCTTGTGGTCGGAAAGGCTGTCCATCACCTCCATTCCTTAACTGCTGTAAGTTCGATCGGCTGGTAATTATGTTTCTAAACTCTTTCGATAGTAGCAAGCCAGAGACTTAAATAACGCATTTCCGACGGCCTTACTAACTTGTTGCAACCCAATGCGCCAGAGTTTGCCAAAAATTAAGCGAGCGAAAACTCCATCCGATAGTTACCAACCGACTGCTACAATCAATTCAACACTATGTAGACGAACTAAAACTCTGCGGAACAGGAACTAACCACCAACCTCGCTCATCAAATTGCACACGCAACATCGCCTGCTTCACGCATTACGCGAACACACATGCAACGCACACGGCATCTAACGCGAACCTCCACACGCAGTAACGGAAGCAGGAACAGAAGAAAGGCGGAGAACAGCGTTGGCAGCGCGGGTACCTTGGGGCGTTCGAGGGTGATCGGGCGGAACCTGGTGGCGAAGCTGTCGGCCAGGAGCACCGCCTGGAGCGGCACGCGGGCCAGGTCCTCGGGATCATCCGAGACCGCCCTGGCCGGGGCCTTCTTCGGCGCGCCCATGTCTTCTCCGCCGCTTCAACGCGGCGGCGGCGGCGGCGGCGGCGGCGGCGGCGGAGCCTGAATCGGAGATATAGCGAAGCGAGGTCGAGAGGGAGGAGCTGCCTGGGAATTTGGGGATAAACCCCTGATTCGCGAATCGAAAAACCCCCGTTAGAGAGAGAGAGAGAGAGATGGGAAGCAAGCTCAATGAGTGGGAGTTTTTCCTGCTCTTATGTTTTGTCCTCCGGTGTACGAAAGAATGTTCGGGTCCTCCGGTTGTGGCCCGAATGAAAACGGATCCCAGTAAGACTCATTTTTAACCCGGGTCAACAAAATTTCTCCTTTGTCAACTTAAAAAAAGGGAAATAATCTCTAACTTTCGAGAGATACTATTACTATTTTTTTTTTATACGAAGAAAGTTTAAGAGGAGGGGAGGTTACCCAACACCAAGGTCAGGGCATACCACAAGCAAAGCATACCACGGGCAAGGTCTTATAATGAATTTACAGATCGCCTACCAAAAAAGACAATTTCGGAGGAGGGGAGGTTACCACATGCTAAGATCAAGGCATACCACAGGCAAGGTCTTCTAATGGATTTACAAAACATGCCACAAGCAAGGTCTTATAATGGATTTACAGATCACTTACTAAAAGAGATTACTGACAGCGGGATTTGAACTTGATTATAGTGTACGAAGAGTTTGAACCTTACCAGCTGAGCCCATCCACTATGGCTAATTAGTTTTGTTGCGATAGATCGGGTTCCACGATCCGAGTTATCCCCTATGATGCAAACTCAAGTGTTCTGGTTCAATTCGGATCTTGGGTCGAACCGGACCCGATGCTCACCCCCTCGCAGTCATCAACATTGATAACTCCCCCCGTCCATCATTTACTTGAATTGGTTTTTTTTTTTTGGCCAGATTACTCGAATTGGTTAGAGGTTCCAGTTATAACATTTTGTTACCTTGGGGTTGCATTATTCTCCTCCTTCGCGTGGCCTTACATGGTAAAATAGAGAGTGCGCTTGATTGTTTGCTATTCCCGGGTTCTATATTCGCAGTTCTTACATCTCTCTGTCTCCCAGCCCTAATATGTTGTCTTTTCCTCTGAAAGATTTCTTGATGTTGAAAGAGGGTTCTTTTGTCCTAATTTTTGCGGAACCATTCGTGCTCAGCCTTCCAAAGTACCAAACGACAGCGATTGCAATGCTACGTTCGACTCAAAGGCCAAGGTCCTTTGATTTCATCTCATCGAATCGCATATAAACTCAATGAGTCGGGTCTGTTTATTGCAGTCACTGATATAAAATTCTTGAAGAGAGCATCACGAAAACTTTTGTCATCGACTCACATATCACTAAATTTGCGCTCAGCCTTCCAAAGTACCAAACGACAGCGATTGCAATGCTATGTTCGACTCAAAGGCCAAGGTCCTTTGATTTCATCGCATCGAATCGCGTATAAACTCAATGAGTCGGGTCTGTTTATTGCAATCACTGATATAGAATTCTTGAAGAGAGCATCACGAAAACTTTTGTCATCGACTCACATATCACTAAAAAGACCCGAGTTCATGCAGATATATTCGACTCGACTTGCTACCAATACATTCTCAGGATCTATCACTACCGCTAACCGTCCAATCAAGCCGCCTCAGAGTGAGACCACTCCCATTCATCGACACCGAGAAATTCATCCTTGATCCTTGTGTCTCTGCTCCACATACAAATCTATCACCTCAGGCGACATTGCACTTGCAGGTAAGCCGATGCTTCCCTTGCGAATATGCAGCGTTAGAAGCACGAAAAGATGCACCGAAGGTCGCGATATGAATTCTAGTCCTACCAAATGCACAATATTATCCTTATGGTCACCGAATAGCTATCTTGAAACCCGTCTACCAGAATAAATTTAGCTTCCAAGCAAATTCTGTTCGTATAAAATTCGCATTTACAACCACATAGACTAAAACAAGCAAACTATACTGAGATAAGAGATGTTGATGCTACAGCTGCCTCTCCACGCCTTTTACAACCCATGGAAGACCAGAGTAAGAGCAATCTCACAAGTGACAACCTACCTTTCTACCTACTATCACACTAAGTATGAGTCTGCCTCGCTTTGTATAAAACAGTTGCTGATTCAAGAATGTAAAAGGTATCCAAGAGTGGCGCTGATCATAACCACCATGACGACAAACAGAAGCGGGAATTCTGCTTGTACTCTTTGTCTGCTTTTCCTACTCCTCAAAATCGCCTGCGGAAAAGCAAGACGGCAACAAAAAGTGGAATATTCATTATGGTGGCAGTGATTCATGAAAGTAAGACGAATTGAGAAAGAAGGAAAGAAAACGGAAGATTGGGAATCTGCAATTGAGAAACTTACTAGTTCCTCTCTCCAAAATGCTCTGTCTTGAGTGTTTAATCTCCTATCTTCCGTAAGCTTTGAAATGGTATCCTGAGCCTACAAAGGATCCACATGAAAACTTGATTAATCTATCCCTGGAATTTAGGCAATGAAAGTATACGAAACACCCGCAGTTTAACATTGACAACAAGCGACAACATTCTACTAAAATGATCACCGAAAAACCAAAATCAAAATAGCAACAGAACAGGGCCATATCCTACATAAGATAACCAAATGAGCCAACTTTAAAGTAATAGCTACTCTATTTAATGCAGCAGTCAAATGGTAAGCACGGGAACACATGAACATACACAGACAACTCCACATGGATGCAGACGTGAGGAAACGCTGCCATGAACAACTTTTTATTCAATCATGGAGAAGCAAACTCGAGCAAACAAGACTAATGAAACAAGAACTTTTAGACTAACCTCACTGAGTTTTGATTCAAGTTCGTCTAGTTTTGACTTTATCTCCTCAACATCTCTAGATAAACTCACTTCCTCCACATTTGTTTTCACAAATTGCTGCAACTCGACATCCTTTGCCTCCTCCATAACAATCTCCTCCGCCAAGGTTTTTTTATCATCTGACTTCGCATCCTTTACTGCCTTCATCACCACCTCCTCTGCCGAGTTCTCTCTCTCTTCTGACTTCACATCCCTAGCTGCTTTGATCACAGTCTCCTCTGCTAAGTTCTTTTCCTCCTCCAACTTCGCATCCTTTGCTGTCTTTATCACAATCTCCTCCTCTAAGTTCTTTTTCTCCTCTGACTTCACATCCTTTGCCGCTTCCATCACAATCACCTCTGCTAGGTTCCTTTTCTCCTCTGACTTCACATCCCTTGCCGCTTTCATCACAATCTCCTCTGCTAGGTTCCTTTTCTCCTCTGACTTTACATCCTTTTCCACGTGCAAGTCTCCATTGTTTACTATCTTGATGTATTCAACAGCATTAGCCACCTGATGAAAATTTAACCTCAAAAGCAGGTTCAAACGATTTACCTCAAAAAATAACATCAACTTTGTCGCCCAATCTTACCATGGGCTCTCGACAGAAGAAGTCAACTCCACTCCATTCTTGCTCGTTTTTAACTGGAGCTTCATTTAGACCCTGCTTAAATGTCCCAATGAGTGGTGACAAGTCTGGTGAATGAGGCGGACTGATGAGGGACACCCGGAGTTTGTTCTCTTCTACATACCTGCCTTCATCCTTTGAAAACTGATAAACACAAAAATGAGAAAGCAACAAAATTATAAAATTTGGACTCCACGAAAAGAATAACCCCATACCATGCCAGACGTGATGTCCTCTTCTGTTGTACCAGGAGGAACAACAGTTCCTTGGATTAAGAACTTGTCTTTGCATATCATATCCGTGGGCACACTACGTGGAGCTTGCATTGTAACTAAAATTGACACGACATACACGGTAAGCAACTCAACACTAACACCAAAATGCCAAATATCAATCTTAGTGGTCTAATAACGTCTTCATTTCATTACTGACCAAAACGACAGGATAATCCTCACCAAAACAAAAAGAAGCAAAGAACTGAACATGTCCAATATGCTATATATCTAACATGTTCCGCTCACTTATGTTCCACAAGAATGCAAAATCTCTGTATGTATGATTTGAACTTCGAAGCAATGTGAAAAGAAACAAGTCAGATGAAAATTAGCATCCATGAAAATCCTGTTGATATATCTATAATTTTAATACTCAATCCTCTCTCACATCCAGCACACGTTTTCTATAGGAGGAGAGAACCCCACACCTTCTAATCATAGATCAAATGTTTCAAACAGTGAACATTTGATCATTCGTTCTCTACAATCATGGCATTTCAACAATCAAAGTCAATAACTTGGAAACTCCCAGTAACTTCTTGTGTGTGCTTCAGTCAGAGGCCAATATACCCGTCCTTACCTAAAACTCAGGCATTTCAACAAGATGAAACAGACATGTACACCAGTTTCACAACAAATGCTGAAAAGACTGCATACCATTGAAAGTGCCTGCAGATTTTGGGGCAATAATTCCAGCATTTGGCCGGACACAGTATTTCTTTGGAGATGTAGTTTTGACCTGCCACAGTGGTAGTTTCCAATTTCAGATTACTTCACTTTCAGATGTTCGAATCCTGGCAATAGTAAGCTACCAAAACACTGTCAAATCATAGGTTATATTTACCTTAAAAGCGACATGTTGGTGAGTATTATTCACAAGTCGGATGTTACACGTGCTTTGCTTCTTCAGCTCAACTAGCAACAAGAGAAATAGATTAGCGGCAATTAGTTCATGTTCCCCAACTTTGTGCTGGCTAATTTCATAAAGCACGAGAAGAAAAAGAATACGCAAAGCCGTGACCAAATAATCTCAATGCAAAAATAATAATAGAGAATATCAAACATCAACAATTTCAGAAACATATCTGTACAATAAAAGATTCACTACTTCTGGCCAAATTTTTCAATATGCATGTACTGTTCACCGTATATTCTCCCTAAGCAAATTCATAGGAAGAAGCTAGCATTGCGTATCTCATTCTCAGAGCCTTACATATGAATTTGAGTTCACCAGGCTGAATATCCAAAAGTTGCTTCTCCATGGGCTTTAAGAGAATCCAGATTCAAAACAACTCTTCTTCGCATCCAGAGCCACCAACGGAGTCCCCCAACCTCCTCCTCCGCAACTCAAGAAGTTAAAAACTGCGAATGAGATCCTGCCATTGATCAAGCAATGAAAAAACCTCGATAAAAAGGCCATCTACAAGTGAAAACATCGTATAATCACACGTAATAACCGAGCTCAGAATAGCGCAAATAGAAGACAGATTCATCTCTTTTCAACCGCCTAATCCGGAGGAACAAAAAGGAGCTCCATCTCCATCGATCCTCAATCATTTCCAACCGCACCATCAGTGAAAACATCATATAATCACACGCAAGAACCGAGATCAGAATAGCACGAATAGAAGACAGATTCATCTATTTTCAACTGCCTAATCCACGGGAACAAAAAGGAGCTCCATCCATCCTCGTTCATTTCCAACCACACCAACAGAACCGAGATCACCACAGACGTAACAAAAAGGCTATACGACATGAAGGTCGCGAGCTCAATAACAAATCAATCCTAACTCGGAACAACCGCCCCGATCACACCATCAACGCTGTCCCCAGCTTCAACGGTTAACTATCTACAGTCCAGAAAAACTCAGGAACAAAATGCACCGTCTCCATGCGAATTCGAAAAGCATCATCGGAGGATGACGAGCACCTGCACCGACAAACTGCGAAGCCAAAAATAGAGCTGGCTCGATTTCCAAAAACGAGGTCAAACACGCAAAGCTCGGCAGTCAACGCTCAACGAAGACTCCGCACCACGACAAAAAAAAAACAGAAGAAACGCGATTACCAGCGCGGAGAATCGCGAAACACCGAAACCAGCGGCAGTCGAGTGTTCGAACTCGGCCGCTTCATAAAAACCGAACCAAATCGCCGCAACGAAGCTCGGATCAAGCCATATCCAACTCGGATTCCGACTCACCTCCAACTCGGCCCGCTCGACAAGCTCCCGATCGGCGCCGATCGCCGGAACCCGGAAAAAACCGAACGAGCTCGGAGACGAAACCGCCGGATTCCGGAGCACCGACCAGCGGCGGCGAGGCACGAAGGACGACGCGCGCCGGTTTCGAGGACGCTGCCGAGGAACGTGTGAACGGCGACGGAGAAAAAGCCTCGGGACCCGGCGTCGAAACGCGCACGGGGAGGGAGGGAGAGGGAGAAGGAAGGAGAAGAGCGTGGGGTTTAAAGGGGGGGAGAGGGGATTGGCGTGAGCTGGCCGCTTCCTCTTCTTATGCGCGGGAGGATGACGTCGAGCTTCGGTTGGGGGTCGCTGCGCGGGGGAGGGCAAGGAGACCGAGAAAATCCACAACCACAGAGAAAGGAGAGAGAGAGAGAGAGGTTGGTGATCGGCGATGGTGACGTTGAAGGGAATGGGGAGAGAGAGAGAGAGACTGAGAATGGGAAGTGGAAGGCAAGTAATGCAGACAGGGAGGGAGGTTTTTCCGGTCCGATTCGCTGAGGGCGGTTGTACCGGTCGGTGGGTGTCATCCATCCGATTCATGTTTTGAAAACCCCCCCCTCCCCCGCAAAAAAAAAATTTTGATTTATGGAGCATGGCCGGTTCCTGAACTGTGATCCGACGCGCGATGTCATACCCAAAATTTTTATTTGTTCATTGTGGTTACTGAAATTTTAGCTAAATGTGTGATGTCGTCCCTGAAATTTTTAATTTGTGCGATGTAATCCATAAACTTTTGGTATGTGTTTAATCTAGTCATTGGACTGTAACTTGCATTAATTCAAGTTTAGGGATAATATTGGACATCTTCAGGTACTACATTGAACAGATTAAAAGTTCAAGGACGATATTGCACACTATGATAACGTTCGCAAATCAGATTGAACAAATTAAAAGTATATGGACGACATTGCACATTGAGTTGAGAAGTTCAAGGACTATTTATGTAATTATCCCATTTTTCAAAACTACTTTCATGTCATTAATCTTTTACTAATTTAAAAAATATACATATTGCTCTTTTACTAATTTAATGAAATTCTACGGTTTTCGCTTATCGAATTTTATTGATCGCAAAGGAAGAAAAAATGGGTAGTTTTACTACCGATGTTGTCGCCATAATATTATTATATGGTTCGACTTCGTTGAGGTCTCGTCATCTCTCTTTTGCACGCTGCTTTCCTCGGCTTGATCAAGGCTTTTCTGCGGATTTCGAATCGGTTATCCACGTCGCGATCAGTTGAACACGAGTCCCATTGCTCGAGTTAGGGTCAAGAGAGCAAATTCGAGATGCCATCCTCCATTGTAACTTTATATATACATTTCAAATATCGAGAATGAGTAAAGTATGGGCAAGAAAGTCGAAAGGCCTTTCGAGAGCTTAGGGTGATCGGTTCTAAAGTGGACTGGTTCTCACTCAGGAACCGAGAACCGACCCACCTAGTCCTTGACTCACTCGGAAACCGGATCGGTCCGGTTTTTGAGTGGGCCCAAGAACCAACCGTATGTCCTTTTTTATTTTCCTATTTCTTACAAGATTGTGAGAGGCATCAAGTTGAGAGGGTGGCGTGAGCGCTGCATAACTGAGACTGAGAGAAATGAGAATGAGAGGCGTGAGCAACCAGCTCGACAAAGTCTGAGCAACAAAAGAATGGACATTAAGGTTTTGGAAATTTGGAATCATAAGAATAAAAAAAAATTCAGTCTGATGAGGGTAGGTGGATCCACACTGAAACTGGGAATCGGATCGATATTCACCGGTTCTAAATTTTAAGAATTGGGAACCGCCCTAAACTAGCCAATTTGGTCTATTTTCGATTCGGTCCGATTCTTTTGCTCACCCGTACACTCAAGGATATATCTCAGACTATACTAAATAAATAGACTTTTGTTTTTTATTGCCATAAGCACATAGATTTATTTCGGATTTATCTCAAATGTACCTTCTTGGACTTCTACTTAGGTTTCCGTGTTGCGTGCGAATTGACGGCAATGACGTCTCAACCGAACATGACGATGTTGATCTTCATTTTCAGTCATATTGAACTCGATTTCATACCGCATTCGATGGTTCAGATATCGACTTGCAAAAAGTACCAGTTAAATTTTCGAACATAAAATCGACTCCCGGAAGAACTAAAAAATGCATATCGCTTGTTTAATTTAGTTATATATTTTTTTTATTATATTAAAGGGATAATGATACGAATTGTCCATAAACTTTGACCTAATATACAATGTGGTCCCTAAATTTTTAATTTGTTCAATGTTGTCCATTAATTTTAGACTAATGTGCAGTGTAGTCCCTAAACTTTCAATATAATATTGTAGTCCATAAATTATATAAAAATATTCAATATTGTCCTTAAAATAATTCAAGATCGGTTACAACATTGAACATTTTTATATAGTTCAGAGATTAGATTGAATATGTACCAAAAGTTTATAGAAATTCAAGGATCACATTACACATTTGGCTAAAATTCAAGAGTCATATTGAATAATTAAAAGATCAGGCACCGCATTGCACTTTAAGACAAAATTCATAGATCATTAATGCTATTTTTCCTGTATTGATTTGTTGAAGTTAAGATGACACGTTTTTTCTCTTTTAATTGAATGCGACATGCTGACCGACAGGACCTTCACTTCTAGAATTCACAATTTGGGGCTCGCCAAAATTGAATGGGAGCGATTTTTCTTCGCAATTTTTTCCGAGATATCTTCGTTGAATTTGACGTATTTCCACCCGTCACAGAACCCCGTTCACAGTCAGAAGATGAATGGACTGAACATGGCTGAGAAATTAGATTACGCTTTCTTCTGGAAACCACCCGAATTTGACCCCCCGGGTTCTAAATTTTGTCAATGCGGGCAATGAACACTGCGGAGACCTTTCCATAAGACAGTCTCAATCTTGGAAAATTGCAGCTTTTTAGTAAGAGAATTAAGGGTTAATATCGTAAAAATATTTTAAAATCGGTGCTTTGTGACGCATTTATCGGAAATTAATTTTCATCTCACGAAAAAAGTCTTAAATTGATTTTCATCTAAAAGAAAATCACAAACCGGTAACTCTAATCCAAACTTACCCTCCATCGGAATGCGTACGTGTCGATGGACGTGATTTATCTACGTAGGATTTGCCATTCTCCATGTCAGATCTGTTTTTGTAGGTTTCTGTTACGTGCGTTGAAACGTTTGCAATATTGGACGGAATGTTGACCGAGAGATGATTTGGATCGGGGTACTAATTTGGGTTCTTTTGTGAGACAAAAATTAGTTGGAGCTAAATGTGTCGCGGGCACCAATTTAGGATTTCTAATGGTATTAACCAGAAAAATAATTAGCGCGCCAAATCTCAAGCTCGATCTCTATTCCTGTGTTATTTGCAGGGACAAAACTATAAGGAAGTAATTCTCCGCGGTCTCAGTGACTAGCGATCTTTCTTCAACTAAATTAGAGGTGGAAGAGTTCATTTGGCACGCGAGAGGCGACATAAGTACTACCTAACTATAAATAAATAAATATTAAAGCCAATTGGCAAGTCATTGTATTGCTCTAATTTATGTAATTAGGCACAGTAGCACCTCTCATTTTAGGTCATTATGCAAATAGAGAACCATACTATATGTCTATATGTGCTGAATAAACAGAATGTGGTGACTTCTTTTAGAGACTTCTTAGATCATAATGACACAGAGGGTCATACAAAAATTTTGATGGAATTCTTTTCTTATCTGGAATACAAAATGGGACAGCAACAGACCTGATTAAGAATTGCTCAGACTTTTGGCCCCAAAAAGAAAAGTATAACTGAGACTTGATGACTCCTGTTGCTTAAAGTCTTTACAATGAATGGGAATTGATTGTTCTTGGATAGACCCATAAAGGGGCTGCAATCAATTTGCCAATTTGTAGGTCAAAAGAGCATTGGACCATGTAACAATGAGAGCTTCCTTTTATGTATGGAGGTGCCCACCTATATATAAATATGAATATATACTATGTGGATTTAATTAAATGAGATAATCACTTCACTACATTCACTGAACTCCGCTTGTTTCGCGAAAAATAAATGATGTGAAAATGATCGCTTGCATCGCTTATAATAAGCAAAAACAAAATAACACGTGTGACAATTTTACCCTAAACTAATTTTTTGACCACAAAAAACTCAAATCCGGTACACATGTGACGGATTTACCCCGAACTAATTTTTGACCTCCAAAAATCCAAACCTGTACACTTGTGACAAGTTTACCCCGTGTTAAACTGGATTAATACTACAAAAAATCACAAACTAGTAAATTCTTGATAAACAGAGAGGTAAAACCCTAAACCAATACCCCCGTCAACAGTCACGTTTCATCCAACTCAACAATTTGATGGTAAAATTTAACGGAAACTAGCGGAACGTATATTTATCACAGGTGTACCAGTTTGGAGATTTTGGTGGTCAAAAAATTAGTTAAGGTAAATTTGTCACGGGTGTATCGGTTTGAGATTTTTCATAGTATTAAATCAAAATATTTTTATTATTCATAAAAATATTTTTTATTGCATAATGTCAGTGAAATATAATATACTTATTTTTTGTAAAATAAACGTAGCATAATATTATTTTTGGGTTTTGAGAGCCAATTTGGAATGATTATCAATTATTGTGAAGATAATTAGAAACACGTGCAGGGTGCCACGCTGCTACACTATAGATGATGACATTTCCTGCAGGAACGTGGACTTTCTCAATTTGATATTTTTTTATTTTATTTTTTTTATTAATTCTTGATTTGTCCCACTTATTTGAAATCTTTTTTGCGGTCGAATTTTTTTATATATATTTTCATTTTTTTAAGAATATATGGCCGTGCGTTGTCCATCGGAAACCTCGCTTGATGGCCACCAGATTTCTAGTCTTTTTGTTCTATTGCGCCTGTAAAATCACCTTTTCGTGATCATGTAAAGTAAGCAAGCCTCCTTCTCGAACGATGTCACGAAGCTCAACTTTTTCCTTTTTTGAGGACGGTGGAAAGACCCCTTTTTTTTTTTCGGATTTCGGAATTTTCCCCCCCTCTCAAAAAAGCGGGATCGATCGGACGATACCGATTTCAGGTATTTGCTCGCTTTGGTACGTCGGATTGATTATCTTTTGGCTGCTTCTATAAAAGGGAACAGCTTATTGCATTTTGTAGTGCGGAACTCACTTTTCGGAAATACCATTAAAGAATATGTATGCTGTTCAAGAGAAAAGACATTTTAATTTCACAGAATTAATTAAATATAGAGAGAGAGAGAGAGTCCCAGTGGATGATGTGGGCGAGTCATTGCCGCGACACCATACGGTCGTTTCAGTTAATAATTCAGTGCGCTTCCGATTTTTATGAGCCCAATACATGATGTGGGTCGATCATCGCCACGACAACATGCGGTCGTTTCGGCTAATAATTTTAGTACAGTACCGATCTCGACGAGTCCAATACACAGTATGGGTCGGCATCGCCACGGCACCGTGCGGTCGTTTCGGTTATTAATTTAGTGCGATTGGCCGGTTTTTTTATGCGAAATGAAGGCACGTCCACGAAAAAAAAAAAAAGAAGGGACATGACGTGTGGAATTCAAGAAAAGGACATGGAACCAACCCTTTGTTATTTGCCTGTGAGTCGGAAGCAATGGGGAAGAGAAATGGGCCATCCGTCTAGGGAAAAAACCCACCTGCCCAAGCTATCATCATCATCATCATCCATTCAACTGCCATTCCCGCCCAATCAATTGCAGCATGGTTGAAGCCTTCTTTAGCCACAAATCTTTGCCATCGAAAGCGACACCCTATCCATGAGATATCGAGATCTCGGTCTCGGTCTCAATCTCGATCTCAAACTCGACACGGCTCAGAGAGGCTGTTCGGGGCAAATCTCGTTCTCGCGTTCTTGAGGAATAGAGGTCCAAGCTTATGGTCGTCCTCTCTTTCGGTACTAAGATGTTAGTCAGGAATTTGATCTGTATGCTCGCGATGGGGCTGCGTATATGTGGGCGCAAGTTAGGACCACACCTGGTTCCTTGCTCGATTCCGGCCCAATCCTCCTCTTCCTATACTCTCAACACCCTTCGACGCGACGACCCTCGAGTTCAATGGATGTGTCGGGGAGTCGCATCCGGAGTCAAAAAGACGAAAAATGCACCTGCGTAGGTCTATGGTTCCGAGCGACGTTCTTCATAGACTGGGCCATTATTTGCGCGGATGAACGTGTTGACGTTCCCTTATGCCCCCAGCTAATAAGGTCCTTTCCATGCACGGTCAAAGTCACCGATCGGGATGAGACGATACGACGGAAGTCAATAGTAACCGTTCGTTTTGCCGACACGATCGCCGCGACGCTCTTCGATTCCCCAAAAAAAGGGGACAGAGCGAGACGTGATTGATTCGGCAATAGCACGTATCATCGATGCCGCCTCGAAATGGCTCGCGACGTCGTAAGTGCACTCAGAGAACACTTCTACGATGATCCCATTTCCTTGCACTGCGTGCTCAGGCCCGTGACGTGCGGCTTTTAGTTCTTTCTTTTATGGGCTTTTTGTGGCCCGTGAAACGGAACGACTGGGCGACTCGTGTGCGCCCACTTTACTCCCAAGGTCCCTTCGCTCATCAATAGTGGCCCAATCAAACCACGTATCACGTACGACTCCCGTCCAAACCTGAGTATGATCCAAACCTGAATATGTCTGATCTCTGAAATGTAAAACTTCGGTCCGTTTGCTCATCAATAGTGGCCCAATCAAACCACGCATAACATACGACTCCCGTTGATCCGGGATCGCTAATATAACGTGGTTAGACCCATCAAACGGGAAAATTGTCTAAAAAATCCTAAACTTATTGTACTTATGCCAATTCAGTCATAAATCTTTCAAGTTTGTCAATTGAGTCATAAATTTTTTCACTTCTTGCCAATTGAATCCATTCGGCCAATTTTAGCCACCCGGAGCTGACGTGGATGCCAGCTAGCGCCGATCGTCCGGCCACCGCTAACGTAGCAATTTTAAATATTTTTTTTTCGATTTTTTTAATATATTTTTATTTTTTTCCTTTTATTTTTTTTTTCTGGCCTTCTTCCCTCTGGCCAGCGAGGTTGACCTCATTGGCCTCTGGCGAAGCTCGCCCTCGCCTGCCACTGGGGAGGGCGAGCCTCACCGTAACAACTCAGGCGACAGTGAGGTCTGCCTTGCCAACCTCGCCCAGATCTGACGAGGCCGACCTCACTGCCACCGTTGCTTGGGTTGGGATGGCGAAGTCGGCCTCACCTTTACTGGGCGAGGTTCGACCTCGCCTAGCTAGGGGCCGGCGGGGCTCGCCCTTGCCAATGGCCGACGGGGGCGAGCTTCTTCAAAGGCCAGTCGCCGGGAAAAAGGCCAGAAAAAAAGAAATGGAAAAAAATAAAAAATATTTAAAAATTCAACATAATATTAAAAATTGCCACGTTAGCATTAGCCGGACGCCCGGCGTCCACGTCAGTTCCGGGCGGCCAAAATTGGCCGGATGGACTTAATTGGCAAGAAATGAAAAGGTTTAGGACTCAATTAGCAAACTTGAAAGGTTTAGGACTGAATTTGCAAAAGTGCAATAGGTTTATAACTTTTTGGACAATTTTCCCCCATCAAATGGGTGGGTCGGATCGAGTTGAAAATGTGTGACCCAAATTGACCCATTTTCCGTGCAAAGCATATCTAGTGTGTCCCATATCACTAAAACGCTTCAATATTTAACCTGATCGAAGAAAACTCATACCCAAACTGAGGCGAGAGTGCGGAGTGAGCGAATCCGAAATTGAGTAAGGGCGAGAGAGAGTCATAGAGGTGTATTGGATCTAAGTCCCATTTAACACTCATATTTTTTTGGACTTTACCATTCTAAACCCAACTACTAAACATAACTAAGCATAAAACAACTCATCCCATAAAATATGTGTTAAGAAATGGGTTTTATGACCCAATTGGACATGTCTAGATATGATATTTATTGTGATTAGGCATGGCCATCCAACTTGCTTGTATCCAACGGGGTGAAAATCGAATCTATGTCGTTTGCTTAATCCATATAATCGAATATATAATTACAACTAGAAAGTATAGTCATCACATACAAAATTGGCACATTTTTTTTCATCTAATCGTGCTGTGATTAGAAAAAGGTACTCAAACGATGTTCTTCATTTTTTCCCGATGCTCATTGCGACAAAAGAAAAATCGATACATGACAGATACTAGTATCTAGCGCAATTTTTCTTTTTGAAAAGGATATCACGTAATATATGATATTCCTGCTCATATCCTGACCATGATATATAAGGTAAATGACACAAGCGGTCCCTGAACTTTGACAAAATATTTTGTTCAATGTGATTTTTGAACTTTAGTCCAACGTGTAATGTCGTTCCTGAATTTTTAATTTGTTCAATGTGGTCCCTGGACTTCTTGTTCAATTTAGTCCCTCAACTATATGGAAAAATGTTCGGTGTTGTCATCGAACCTGAATGGCAACATTGAACGTTTTTATATAATTAAAGAACTAAAATGACATGTATCAAAAGTCCATAATAAGAACAATTTAAAAGTTCAGAGACGATATTGTACATTGGGCTAAAGTTTGTGGATCATATTAAATAAATTTAAATTCAGGGACCACACTGCACATTAAGCCAAAGTTCACGGATTATTTGTGCCATTATCCATAGTATAGAAAAGAGCTGGGCACGTGTGAGTCTAATACATCCCAGCCCTTGAAACCACGGAGGTCCCACGCGGGACCCGCGACTACCAAGGGCCCCGATGCATCGGGCTCACGTGGCACCGGATCGTCCTGCGAATTCCTCCCGCAGGCACAAATGGCGCCACCAGCGGGCGGGGAGGGAGGGAGGGAGGGAAATCGCTCGGCCATGTCATCCCTTGCGCCCGTTAAAGCAGCTCCGTCGCCCATGGCCTTCCTCTCCATTTCGAGCTTCCCCCTCGGCTGCCCTCGTCCCGTGCCCCGAACGATCGGATCTCCGCGCTCCCGATTCCGCTCCGACCGGCGAGACCCGCCGGATTCTCAGACGGCGATCGATCGGCTCCGACGGCGAAGGCCTCTCTCTCTCTCTCTCGTTTCGATCGATCGGGCCAGTTTCCGATGGAAGATGGCGAATGACGCACGACGGGATCGAGATTGACGCATCGGCTCGTTGCTTCTCCTTCGCCAGGTAAGTTTCCGTCGAGATGATCAGCATCTTCTTCGTTCTATCGATCGTGTTCTTGTCAGAACTGACGTTCGCGCGGTGTTTCGTGGATCGTGCAAATGGAAATGTGGCTTCCGTTGGACGATCACGTTGTTCCTGCCGTTTTTAGCCGTTGGTTTCGAGGTTTTCTGACGATTTCTTTCTGTTTTTCCGACGTTTACGAGTGCGAATGCGTGTCTGAGGCGCTGTTTCAGTCTGCTTGAGTCGTTTAATGTGTCCTCGAGTTGAGTCGTCCTTCTATGTAACCGATTCATTCTCGCTCACTTGTGCATGTGCGTGCCGATGGATGATCCAGATGGATCGGATGAGACCGTTGTACGTCAGGCAACAGAGCGGCCCCGGGTCGCCGGGAGGGGCGGCGTCGCCGACTTCGTCGCCGTTCCACAGGCACGTGCGGTCAGGCTCCACGGGGAATGTGAAGAAGGCACAGACGAAAGCCGCCGCCCAAAGGCTGGCCCAGGTGATGGCGCATCAGCTTGGCGATGACGATGACGGCGAGGATGATGACCTCTCGTATGAATATGCTCCGGTCAGTGGCACTGGAAGCATCGGGCTGGCCGGCGGACGTAGGGCTCGCTCGCCTATGGTATTCACTTGGTTGGACTATTTATGTCAATTGGAATTTGATGTTCGTGGTAGTTTTCCAGCCATACGAGCGCATTTCTTAATTTTCTTTTCAGATGGTACTTAGATCATAAAATTAGTCTTCAAAGAATTCGACCAAGCATATTGAATGAGTCTATCAGAGAAAATGAAGGTGCATTGAATTAGCATAATTTGGACATCAGGCATACTAACTGCAGCAAGTATATTTGTTACCACAAATAGACTGCACCTCATGGTTCCTTTTTTCCTTTTCTGAGTCCCATGGAGTCAAACAAGCGCCCCCAGAATAAGAACTAGACGGATGTGCTGTCTCGCTTTATCCACATCATATGTTTCGACATCTCTAGTGTTTATGTTGCGTATTTTCAGTGTCATTGCTCACTTTCAACTATTTGTGATTGATGTTAGTCAGTTCGTTCCCATCAAGAGCAACCGCATTCAGCGCGTTCATCAGCAATTGGGCGACCGTTGCAATCTGTGAACTCTGTCGACCAACCATCATTGGCCCGCATATCGACTCCTACTCGGTCATCTCATTCTGCTGCTCCTGCTGAACAATCTCAACCAAGTCGCACAGTGGCGGTTGGCAGGTCGCCTCAGTCAGCTAACACAGAACAACCATCATTGGCTCGTATATCAACTCCAACTCGATCATTTTATTCTGCTGCCGAACAATCTCAACCTACTCGTTCCGTGGTGGTGGGCAGGTTGCCTCAGTCGGCCAACACAGAACAACCATCATTGGCTCATATATCAACTCCAACTCAATCATTTCATTCTGCTGCTGCTGCCGAACAATCTCATCCTACTCGTTCGGTAGTGGTGGGCAGGTCGTCTCAGTCAGCTAACCCAGAACAACCTCCATCCGCTCGTTCAACATCAGGTGGCCGTTCATATTTAGGAATTAAAACAGTGCCTATGGTGCCTGCTAGTGTCCCGATATCTCTAAAGCCATCGTCCTCTGCCATTCCGACAGAGACTCCAGTTGAACATCGCAGAGACAAAAGGTATTACTCAAATCCTTACTAGCAAATTCAGCCACTTAGAAAGCTTTGTTACCGCTTTCTTCCTCATTGATTAGAGATCAAACTCGAGGTCAACACGAGTTTTCTCAAATGTTTTACCGACGCAAAAACTTTTATTTTTTCAGGGTACCCCTGATCAAATATTTTTTCTTTCTTTCTTTCTTTGGCTTTTGGAAGCACAGACATTGCGATGTAAGCAACTGCACATTGGGAAACTGGAAACAACTGCGCTTTGAGATAGTTCACACTGCCAACTGAGAACAATTATTGAAATGTTGACAAAATAATATTGAACTACACGTTGCCCAATTTGCTGTGTTACTGTAATACTGTTGCACTGTCTATGTTTATGCCTTTATTATTTGAAAGATTCTTGTGGTACATTTATTAGTAGGTCTTAGGGACTATTAACAAGATAATTAACAAGATATGTGTTCTTCATTATTTATCTTGTTTGACATAGTTCATAAGTCAAATGGCTGATTTCTTTTAGTTTCATCCTATTAGCAGAATGTCTGTGGATTGGGATAATGTGAGCACAAAAGAGACTAGCAGCCAGCGATCTGCTTCTGCTTTACAAGATGAGGTATGGACGTTTTATGGGTTGCACATAGATCAAAGCAGAACGCAATTGTTTAACCCGTCCGGGCTATACTAGAACATTAATATGCTTGTCTGGTTTGTTTCTCCAGCTTGATATGCTACAAGAAGAGAATGACAGCTTACTTGAAAAGGTAATTCTGCGTCTTCCTTTTCCCCCTATCGACTTATGTTTTGAGGACCGAGTCAGTTAAGGTAATTTAGAGAGTAAAGTTAAAGGAAATATCACTAGTTATTAGGCATAATTTCAAGATGATGCAGTGCCATCCAGTTCGAAATATTAAATTGGTATTTCTGTTCATGCAGTATTTTTAAGTATAATTTCAATCATCATCAAGTTTTAAGTACTTTAGGACTACCGTAAATATCAATGGGGTTGTAGTTCTATTCTTTATTTATTTCTACTAGCTCCATCTTGATAGTTGATACTTGCTCTTGCCAGCTTCAACTTGCAGAAGAGAGGTGTGATGAAGCAGAGGCTAAAGCTCAGCAGCTTGAAAAGCAGGTCTGATACTTTGTTCACTCTATTGTGTGTATTGTCAATGACCTCTTGTAGATATCTTATGGCATCTCTTTTCTCAGATTTCTTCTCTAGGGGAAGGTGCTACTTTGGAAGTTCGTCTTTTGAGCAGGCAAGCTTGTCATTGTTTTCAGAGTTGTTTCTTGATGATGCCAAGTTTTATGCTTTCTAACATCTTATTCTTGATAGCTCTTCAGAAAGGAAGCAGCCTTGCGGCAAAGGGAGGTCTGTTTTCTACCTTGCATAGCTTTTCAAGCACTTATATTCAGTACCTTTTCTTTGTTTTAGGGGCACCGCTCCTGAGGATGGATAAAATTGCATGTTTCCCATGGATCAATATAGATTTTCCGAGGCATGATTATGCTCCCTAAAGCACAGAGTTTGTGCCGTCTCAGTATTATAGAGAGACTCTTCTCTGTGGGGAAGACACATAAGGACATAAACCCGAATAATGTCAATGCAGAAACGTAAATGAAGCAAGCGAAAGGAAGTTAAGAAGATGGAGAGAAATTCTAGGCCAAGATTACTAAGATAATTGAATCTGCAATTTTACTTGCTTTTTATACCAAGTGTCACTTTGCCATGAAGAAATACAGGCCCGGGGGCAGGGGGTGCAAGAACAAAAAGATCTACTTATGGAACATTAAGAGGAACTCTGCAGATACGTAGGGTAACCCTGTATAGAAAGTTCTAAAAGTTCTAAAAGTTCTTCTGACTCTGCTGTGTGTACTCTCTGCCAGATAAACGGAGGAAGAGCAACTGTGGGGAGTTGATCTTAATGGTCAGACATCGGCATTTGTTTACTTAATACTAGAATTAGAAACTACATGCCGATCCTTTGCATGATCAACAACATCCAGAATGTTATGGCTTAGCATGTGGATGAATGAGGATGCAGCACTTGTGAATATTGTTTAGCTCCCAAAATCTTCCAGGATATCATTCTAATCTTGCAAAATATTATCTCAGTAATGAAGCATTTAATTTGTACATGAGGGGGCTTCATATTCTTTTATTTGTCTGTTTTGGAGGGAGATGGGGAGGAACAGAGCCTTCATTAACCAGTATTGAATTTTTCTAGGCTGCTCTAAGAGTTGCGGGACAAACTCATGGTGGGAAAACAGAAGAGGTTGCTGCTCTTCAAATTGAAGCTGAGGTATTCTCAACTTCCAATATACATGCTACATTTTAGTTATTTTTAGTTCTTGGAGTAAAGTGATGAACTTATTGATGTTGTTATGTGCTGAATCTTGAGTAGATAGCAAGGGATGAGGCAACATCTGCATGGGAGAAGCTTCATGAAGTTCAGACAATTACTCAGAGGACCATACTGACCCAAGAAGAAATGGTTGTTAAATTAAGCATTTTACATGTGTTTTACATTATTCATTCAACTAACATTTCCTTAATTGTCATCTTAGGAGGAGGTGGTCCTAAAGAGATGTTGGCTTGCTCGGTACTGGAGTCTATGTATTCAATACGGTGAAGTCATTTTCGTAACTTGAGAACATACCACTTTTTCCATTATAAATTGGATAATTTGAATTATTTATACTTATTTGTAGCAGAGGTGCAACTACTCATCATTATCAAGTCATGTACTACACTCTGTTAAATGGAATATGTGTGTGTGTGTGTGTGTGTGTATTTTAAACAGCTTCATCCTGCATGGGTGATTGATGAAGGTATGAGTCTATGACACTCTCTGTGAGCATTTCAGAGGCAACCCTGCTAAAAGGGAACACAAATACTACTCATAAAACAAAAGAGAGCTTATCAGCCTGACTGTCTCATTCCTTTCATGGACAAGCCACATAGAAACACCAAAATGTGATGCAATGCAAGTATACGAGGAGAGGATACTGCTTTTGCATTCCTCATAGGTGTGCCAAGTACTTTACTATCTATTTCGTTGAACCAGGAGCTATCAATATATATTGGTTAGTGCCTACATATGATGGAAGCCATTGCTTCCGTCTTTCTTTTTAGTAGAGAACGTGATCTTTTTATCTGATTAGAGTCCCTTGATGTCCAACAGTGATAGTTTGAGAATAAGTTTGTTATGGACTGTGTATATCCTATGCACATAGAAATACTCTCTGATGATCCTATTAGCGAGTAAAGAAACATTGACATTGGAAAAGTCTGATTGTTTGCTAATGTATGTCTATAACATAATTACAGTTGCCTTAGCATGGCTTTCACAGACTTGCCCTAGAAAGACGGGGCAGAAATTCCTCAGAGCTTCAATGTCTCCTTAAAATCTTATTGCAGGTATTCATGCAGAAATCGCTGAAGCAAAGTATGAACACTGGTCATCCTTTGCCCCTTGTCCCGTGGAGGTTGTACTAGCTGCAGGGCAAAAAGCTAAAGAAGAGAATTCGTATAGTAAACCCTATTGTTTTTTCTCAGTACAAGTTCTTTTTACCCCTTACTATACTTAGAAAGTCACATATAATGGATAGACTTTGTTGCTGACATGGTATCAACTTGTGCTTTTAATTGAGCAGTGTACGACGATATGAATGAAAGAGACAGATTTCCACGAGATAAAAACGAGCCTTCTGGAGAGCTGAATATTGAGAGCATGCTTTTAGTTGAGAAAGGTTTGCGGGAACAAGCTTCATTGAAGGTTTCTATTATATCCTCTTCATGTTATCCAATTGTCTTTTAAATGAACAGTGAAGTCTCACATTCAGCCGTTTGGCATGAATTGTTCTATCTGTCAGAACTTTCCTTTATGCATATCCGCATGCATATGTTGGAGTATAGTGTCGCTGCAGTTCTGTTGGATAACTTCACTTAAGGTGAATATGCTAGCTTTGATTAATGAACAAAAATTCAAAGGCGATCCACTTTTTTACTTATGAAGTAGCAAGTGAAAAGTGAATACCTGAGGGTTTTTCATGGGTTACTGTTGTAATACGGGACACAATTTAAGCTTCAACCATGGTTAGATGATGCTAATGGGATTTTACATGTAGCACCCGAGACAAAGGACACTAAAAGTCGAACTATGTTATTTTATGATTTCAAGAAAAGGTGAATGAGTTGGAACTTCTGCTAATGATGTCTGGGCTTGTAAAATGCACATAGAAGTAGTTTTAGGTCCTTACATTAAAAAATAAAGCAGTTTCATTTAATGCATCTTCTATTTGTTTGCATAGAGGTGATAGATAAGGGTGTAGGCCGAGTTCCTTTACAACATTGTTTTGAATTAAGATGGGGATATGCTGTTAGTTATGGACTAAATAGTAATTCACAAGCTAGTTAATGATGACAAAGCGAAGTTCTTGTTAAAATTTCTCTTTGGTTCCTTCATATCACTGTTAAGATTTAAAATAAATGAAAGATATGCAGCTACATGTGGACATTTTCTAAGGAAAATGAAGGAAATATTCTAATACGACAAACAGAATTGTTGTTAAAAGTTGTAGATTTTGTTTCTTGTTTAGTGACTCTAAATGGAAAATCAGTATCTGGAGAAAAGAAGGAAGAGAAAAAGATTTTTCCAACTTTTCAACTAGCTTTATAGGTTGGTTATTGTGCATGTTGCCCATATTTTATGTCTTGCAGTAGGCAATCGATCCTTCATTGGACCTTCCACGAGACTTTGTAGAGTTGTTCCTCAAGGTTCACAAGCAAATAGCAACGAAGCTTCACTGAAAAGTAAAAGTTTGTCAAAGTTCTAATTAAGAGATGATACTTATCTATGATCTATAACCTCAAGGTAACAGAATTTAAACATTGAAGGGAGTTTCTTTGTTCTTGATAGTATACAAGTATAATGATCTGTATATCTAGATGACATCTCTATTGTTATTTTTCATCATGGCTGTATGCAAGATACATCTGTTTAGATTTGCTCTTTCATAAGTTTCAAAGGAATGGATTCCGCATGTTGATATGTTTCTGTGAGGAGCATGACCTTTCAGATCTGTGGTTTACAATATAAATTCATCTAAAATGTAATCCTTCCACTATGCATTGAATCTAATGCCATCCTTTCAAAAGGTAGAGGAAGCAATATTGCTTGCAATGGCACAAAACCGACGTAAAAACATTCTCAAAGGTAGTGATCCAGGTATGAGGTTACAGTTTGATTCCATCTTGCTCGTAGACTTTCATGTATTTACCGATGCACTTAGTTCCCAAGTTAATTTGCTTGGAGTCCCAATAAGCTGGGGTCATATTCTTGGACTGAAATCGATCCTTTTGGGCTATGAAAGCAATTTTTGTTTCTTCTTGTCCTTCCATGTTGCTAAATGTTTAGGGTGGTTGGCTAATCATATATCTTTTCTTTCACTAATGAGGTGCAGATGACTTGAAGTTGCCAATTGAGGGACAGACAGAAGTATTTGGTAAGTATTGTCTGCTACAAAATACTAACAGCCATGTAAATGTGGAAGGATTTTAATTTGTTAGCTTTACCACTATGTGCTTGGTGTTCTGAGATTAGATGGATGATAAATATGATAGGTGTCTTGAGTAGAAGTTACAACGCAAGTGAAAGATGGAGCTTTTGTGTTGACTTGAAATGTACGCTTAAACAACTGAATAATCCATTGAACATATATCTTCTTCTTCTTCTTCTTCTTCTTTTCTAGTTGTGGTCGAACAAATTCAGTACAACTTTGGGGAACACTTCGCCCAATTCCTGTCCCTCCTTATGGAAAAGCAATTGACCATCTGAAAGTTGGCTAGACCATCTTTTTCTCAGATGGTTTAATATCTTGTTTCAGGATAAATATTTGATCATGATATAGATTAATTCCAGTAGAGAAAAACATAAGGCACAGTACTTTGCAATGATTTGAAAGGCCTCTGGAGTTTCATGCTCACTTGGCGTGAAATTTTGTCCCAATGCTCAATATGTTGTTTCAATCTTAATCCTTAAACTTTTTGGGTATTAAGTGTTCGCTAAAATTCAAATACTCAAGATCTTCCCCTGAATTTGTTGTCTACGTCTCTCTCCTTCGCTTTCCTCTATTCCAATAAATTTGTATCCCAATCACAGAAGATTCATTAGCCAACTTCACTTTGTGGGTAATAGGTTGTTTGTCGTTCTTTTTCACAGGATAAATTTGTTTATGGAAATGAACTTCTAACTTTAGGTTTGATGGAATATGCTTGATTGAAATATCAAAAGCATATCAGCTGTCTTGTCCATGCAACGGGAATAATTGATAATACCTATATCCATTATCATCAGTCCCATTTTTCCATATTGAGTTTATCTTCTTTTCCTAATTTCTCTTTGTTTCGGATGATATGTATTGTTTGTAAGTTCTTGGATATATAGCACTCTCTGACATGTGGGCAGAAATTTCTAAAGAAGCGACTATATACATGCAGAATTGACCAAAGAGGAATCTGAAGATGTGCTTTTCAAGCAGGTAGGTTTGGCATCGTTTTTGCGGTAAGCTTAGAAGCTAATAGATAAACAGGCGTTCCCTTTCCCATGGATGAAGATAATCGACAGAATTCTTTTCTCTTTCTTTCTTTGGCTGTTTGATCGTCCATGACTGTATATTGGAAGAGACAATCGGCATTTCTTGAGGGCCCTCCAAGTGCTTTGCATGTGCATGTCTGCTGATGGAAAGGAATGAACTGTAGGGACCAAATACGCTTGTAGGATGATATGATCATTAATTGTTAGAAATCAATCTTTACTACTTGTTCGAAGAAATGAATAGTAGAACTGTAGTTCAAAATAGTGGTCATATGAATGCTCAAACATCATCAAATGAAAATTAGTAAGAAGTTGCCATAACCGGTAAATACATGTTCACCATCCTAACTTTGTACACGAACTTAGAAAGCAAAAGTTAGATCATTTGTCAGCATTTTGAGCATCACTATCGGAGTTTAGATACTTTTAACATCGCTTTACCATAGTTGCACTGGCACACTTCTTAGGTGTCTGATCATGCAGTGGGCCTGTGGCAGGCATGGCTGACATACTTCTGGAGACGAGCAAAAAACCATGGGCTGGAGATAGATGTAGCAGACGAGCGCCTGCAATCCCTTATCAACCAAAGCACTCGGTCACCTACTTCGCATGACGCAGTTGATGGTAATTCCTCACTCCCTCTCTCCATAAGAATCCAACCAAAAGAAGGTCAAGGAAAGAAACAGAGTCTGGTTTTAGCTTCACGGCAATTCCTTTTAAAAGGTTTTGGATTAGCTGCTTCTTGCTGTCATAGTCTTGCACAAATGAATTGCCATTGTCTTTGATCCACCTTGAATTTTAAGTTGCATTTTAATATTTCGACAAAAATATCCTTCAGTTTCTTCACAGCTTCACCTTTTTGCTGCTACGCTGACATTAATCTGTCCATGCTCCAGATGGGAGAATGTCATTCACTAAATTTAAAGTCGATGTCGGAGAATTATCTTGTGGATGAGTGTTTTCTTTCGATTTCTACTAGCCCTCATCAACAAGCTGTGAAATAGAAACCGATGCCTATGTAGTTCTGGGTCGGGCTAGCTTTTACCGATCAGGGTACTTATGAAACAGTATCAGTTGCACATATGAAGTTGTGTGAGACTAATGTTACTGTTGTGTTGGACAAGATTTGCTTGCTCTCTCATTTCTTCATGTTCTACACTGATTCATTCACATTTTCCTTTAATATTCAGCCGAGCGAGGTCTGATTGAGCTAAGGAAGCTCGGCATCGAGGACCAGCTGTGGGAAGATTCTCGCAAAGGATTTGCGCCAGATAACGCCAATGTCAGAGCTGAAAATGTCTTCTGACGTTCTAGTTCCGACGTTTCTCTCTTCTATACTCACATCCCCCATCAAAGATATCAACGAGAGCCACCGATCAAACCATCGATTCTCGAGAAAGAGTCCGGATCTCCTTCATTTTCCTTGTGTAGATTCACACTATGTATATTCCGGACAATTCCAAGTAAGCTTACCATAAGTTTATTGAACAGCACAAGATGTTACACAAGATGCTAGACGCACTATGTTTGTGCCATCTTATCGTGTGAGACGTGCTATTTTGGGACATTTAACCTTGCTATGTAATCAGGGCTTATCAAAGCTAGAGACGTGCATTCCCCTTTTTCTTCTTCAATTTCCCCCCCTCGTGTTTTACCATCATGTCCGAGTCGGAATTTTCAGTCCCGCTATCCCAAAAACTGGAAGTCCCAACCAGCTATAGATTCGCATTCGGCCCCTTTTCGGAAGCGGAAAAATCACAATATAGCCCCCGAAATCCGTTCAACGGCCGAGATCTGTTCCGCGTCGATCCAACGGTGAAGGAAGAATTACGAGGGTAGTATACTAGCTATACGCGGGCTTTTCGAAACTTGGGCCAATCAAATGGTTGAAAAATCCGGTTTTTCACCGGACAAATTTTTTTTTTTTTTTCCCTGGGCAGATAATGACGCGACAAGTGAACTTGCCCGCTTCGGTGGGAGAAAACTCTAGAAGCTCGTGCCACTCTCTCTCCGCTCTCAACAAAAACTCTATCTCTCTCTTGCTGCGCTCTAACACTCATCGCCTCTCTCTCTCCGCCTGCGTACACTGCGACAAGCTCTCTCTGTCTCTCTCTGTCTATCCGAAGGGGTGCCCTGAGGTAGGTTGAATCTCTCCTCTTCTCGACGTCCAAACTCCGCGCAAAAAAATCTCTGTTCGTGATACCGGACTAGTACGACTAGCACCTGCGCACGAGTTGCTTCCTGTTCCTGTTCTGCCGTTTTCACTTGATCGGAATCGCCTCGATCGGAGATCGAGCTGCCGGTTTCCCCGCCGGAGCTGAGGTTACCGATGGGAGCCTGATTGTCAATCGATCGATCGAGAGAGAGAGAGAGAGTTACGTGTGCAGATGATCGTCTTTACCTGTTAGCTGAGCCAGTGCTTGATTTTATGTAGCTTTTGCTGTCCGACTCTCTTTTACGGTTCTTCAGTATTTTTCGAAACCAATGCAGTCGCAGGAAGTGATTTAAGTTACTTGCATTCGATGTGTTTCGTTTACTGTATCAATTGCGTCGGTCAATTTTCGAAGCGTGGCTTGCCAGACACCTGCTGCGGTGTCGGTCATGATGCGTCGAACTTTAGCAGATGACCATAGCGAGAGTATCGAAAGTAACGCTGATGCCGACTGCAGATTTTGTTTCTCGTTCCTCGCCTTTTGGCTGTGTTTGTGCAAAGTCTGGTTGCGGCGGATCGAAAATTATCTTTGATTGGATGCGGTTATGTCAATCTCTTTCCGATGTTATGGTGTTACTGTGATGTGATTAATGATCCGAAGCGTTATTGGTCTTTAGATCACAAAGAAAAAGAATGGTGAAGGCCGTTGCTGTTCTTGGAAGTAGCGAAGGTGTCACCGGCACTATCTACTTCACCCAAGAAGGAGATGGTAAGCTTACCGCGCGATGTGCTGAATGGTCTTGGTCCTTGCTTCTTCGTGTGGTTAATCATAATCGTCTAGTTTTGTCTGTTGTGATGACGTGCAGCCCCAACCACGGTGACCGGAAGCCTTTCTGGCCTCAAGCCCGGGATTCATGGTTTCCATGTTCATGCTCTCGGGGACACAACGAATGGTTGCATGTCAACCGGTACTGATTGGAAGAAAACTCTCATGTTGATTTTCGATTATTTACGTATTCCTGATGTTTGTACACGTGTTTGACATTCTTTTTCTCATATGTAGCGCAAGATACAGGATGCATTCTAACTATGATCCGCTGTGATTACTTTGTTTCAGGACCCCATTTCAATCCTGCTGGTAAGGAGCATGGTGCCCCTGAAGATGAGAATCGTCATGCTGGTGATCTGGGAAATGTGACTGTTGGTGATGACGGTAATGTCTGTTATTGTCTAATTACTCCATTGGTTGTGGCAATAATTGTTGCAGCACGAGTGGTTTCATGGATTGTATTTCATGACGTCCCTACATTGTATCAGTATTGGCTTTTCATTGGTTTATTATTGATACATGTCTTGCATGTCATCAACAGGCTTTTGGAAATCAGGATTGACCTATATCTGATTACTGTTTTAGTTTGTGCTGCTATGTAAGGGTTGATATATTTTTGCTTTCTTTTCCAGGTACTGCTACTTTCACCATTATTGACAAGCAGGTCTGTTTTTGCCCCTGAATCATTTCCTTTTCTCCCTTCTCTGTTTTCATCTGCTTATTCTTCTTAAATTTCGGGCGCATCTGGCTAGAGTGTTGGATAATGTCCTAATAGACATGTCTACCTTTTCAGATTCCTCTCACTGGACCTAATTCAATTGTTGGAAGGGCTGTGGTTGTCCATGCAGATCCTGATGATCTTGGCAAGGGTAATTTTTGAAATTTTCTCTGTAAAAAACTTTATGCTGACTGGATAATCTGCTTACATGAGAAATATGACCTTTCTGTGTACTAGTCTTTATGGATGTTATCTAATCTGGTTATTTGATTGAAAGCCTTATAGGAGATCTAGGTGGAATCTTGAGGAAGTTAAGTAGAGGATTAATTTGTGTTTGTGGCAAACTGATTGGTTGTTGATTTACGTAGCAATTTTTGTTTGTTTCTATTGTGGTCAGTTCGAACTTCTGCTTGTTTTATTGATAGCTTGAGCTTAAATTTTGAGCAGGTGGTGATTTGAAAAGTGGAACTATAGAACAATTGACTGTTGTGTTTGATGCTTTGATGATCTTTGTTTTGTTTTTGCAGGTGGACATGAGCTTAGCAAAACAACTGGAAATGCTGGTGGCAGAGTTGCTTGCGGTGAGTAGATTTTTTTGATCATCTGACACAATGATAAGTGTTGATGCATGTAATGCGGATAAGTGTCCCTGTTTCTCCATCGAAAGGCTTTTTCTGTACTACCGGGATGATTAGTGTATGTACTTAAGGCGTGTGCTTAGTTAACCCTTCTCTCCTCTCTCTCTCTCTCTCTCTCTCTCTCTCTATCTCGGGTACATGATTCTGTGTGATGTACAGTATGTTTTCGAGGAGGCACGCTCTATACGTTAGTTGATGTGTTGAATGGAGTGAACAGATGTACTTCTATGGTAGCCATTTGATCAGTCCCTATAATGTATTTCCTAACCAACTCATAAGATAAGTATTCTTATGTGGTTTATTTCTCTCACGTGCAGGTATCATTGGTCTTCAGGGATGAGCTGCCTCAATCGACCACATAAGTACCTAACGCATGCTACGCATAAGGAGCCTCTTGGGGGTCGGAATCTCGAGTAAAAGCATATTTTCACAGTGTCTGTTTTTGGTTAAAACTCTTTCAGTCGATGTGCTTTTTGGTATTGGCTGTCATCTCCCATACTGAGAACACATGGAGGCTGTTAACTATGATGTCACCTGGATTTGGATTTGTCTACGTTTCGGTCATCTGCCATTTTAGCATGGCTTCTGTGGTTAATTTTTCGTCTCTAGCTCTTCTGCATTATGTGCTGATGGCTTCACTGTTGATGCTCTCTATAAGGCCAGGCACATATTCACTTGATTTGTTCTGTAGGAAACCGAAAAGGAGCTCTCTCATTCGGTGCTCTAACGCCATGAGCTGACGAGAGCCAAGCTCCCAGTCTCAGCAACGAGGCGAGTTTCCATTTATGCCAGGCATGGGTGCATTAATGCTGACACATACATTCAAACATATTCTTTTCATAATTTTTAAAATCTAAATACTAACTTGAATTATATTTGAGAAAGCCAAAAAATAAAAAAACTTTTTTTACTTCCAAAGAGTAAACAAACTCACTCATAGAAACAAGTATATTGAGTCGAGGACCGCTCTGCAATGGTTACACTTGACCTGAAAAATAAGTGCCGAAGCACAATTTTTGCAGTCAAGCCAACATCGGGGGTCCTTGAAAAGCATGGACCAATGAAAGTTGATTGGACCAATGAAAGAAAAAGATCAAAAAAGAGAAAAGGAATTATTTTTATTTTTCCTTTTCTCTTCTCTCTTTTTTTTAATCTTTTTTCTTTATGGGACAAAAGAGAATTCATAATATAATAAGTAAATACTCTTAAAAATAATTAATTTAAAAAAATGTTAATTAAAAAAAAGGCAGAGAAAAGGACCAAAAAGAAAGTTGTCGAGAAAATCCTCCATGAAGATTGTATAGCAACGACAGCCAATATTATGACCGTGAGAAATCAACACTTTACTGTGCTCGATGTTGCAGTTATAGCAGCATAAGATTAATTGGTCGAGAACCTGGTCAAGTGATTCCCTCCCAAAAAAATAAATAAAGATTTCATTTTCATCGAGAACCTGGTCAAGTGATTCCCTAAAAATAAAATAAAATAAAGATTCCATTTTCACTAATGCCCTCGACATGCCTGACCCGGAAGGGAAGGGTAAGATGGTAAAAAAAGGCATTAGTAGACAACAACTACGGCGGGCCAATCGGGTGGGATTTCACGCTCACTTATCCACCGTATTTCGTTCCTGTAAACTTGAATTAACTTTCTTTTGTTATTAAGAGTAGGTTTGTATTTAGCTCACCGAAACCCCAACCCACGAACATCCTTGGCTACGCCTCTCTTCCGTTTCTTGGGAAAGATCTATTTACAAATGTAGGCACTTCTCGTGCTTCCTTGGTAGATATGTGCAATTCATGCAATTCTATCCACGTGTTCATGCTATCTATTCCAATTTTTAGATATCCCTCGATGTACATCATTTGACAATTCCGAAGCTACGAAGATGGCATGAAATAAAGCATATCATTCAGGATCCTACAGCTCCATTTTCGTCATTTGACTATTCCGATTAAACCATACTTCGGAATCAATTTTCATCAAACCCACGGCTCCATAATGCCTTTATAAACCATTTCCATATAAATCTAAAGCTCAATAGCTCCTCAATCGAACCTCGCAATCCAACTGTCACACAACTCCAAATTTAAGACCTAAATTCTAAAATTACTCATATTAGACAAAAATAATAGACTTGGATACTTACTAGGCGTTATAATTCGGAACTTGATTCGGCTTGTCGGGACGTCTGGATCGGTTACGCATGCAAAGAATTTCTCTTGCCACCCCCCACCCCAAATATAAGATGGCTCGGGCTTGGGCTTGGGCTTTAGGGAATGGGCTGGGTTTTACAAAGATCTATGTGTTGGGCCCATATATTACATACAATCTCCGCGCTAGCCCCTTCCTTCAATCCAGGGACAAATTCGTGAAGAACATGCCGTTATGACCACAGCACTGGGGGATCATGCGCCCCGAAAAGCATTTCAATACCAGCCTAATGATGGGAAACGACACAAACGGTTCAGAAACTTTATCCAAATATGTAACGTGATCCATGAACTTTAAATTTGTTTGATGTGATCCCTGAATTTTAGCTCGACGTGCGCCGTCTTCCTTGAGTTTTTAATGTTCAATGTTGTTCCTGAACTTGAATTAACGGAATGATAACAATGAACATTTTCATACAGTCCAATAACTAAATTGAATGTGCACAATAAGTCCATGGACCACGTGACATTGCACATCGAGTTAAAGTTCGGGGACCATATTGAACAACTTCAAAGTTCATGGACCACGTCACACATCGAGTCAAAGTTCACTAATCAATAGACCGATCCCGATAGATCCCCTCGAGCAAGAGATCTTGCTTAGTTTCCCTCGTCGCCACGATTTGCCCTAACGCAGAAGAGGCATAGCCATTATGATACCGCCCGTTTCAGAGCATTACGACGCATATAAATCACACCCTCCATAGCGGAGAAGAAGACCGTACTTCAACGCCCGCAGGAGCAAAGGAAAAGAGGGAAAAAAAAACTGAGATGATCACATCTCAAGTTGGCCTTCTTGGTGACTCCGCTGCTCATTGCACCATCTTCTACATCCCTCTTGCTCCTCTCCATATTTACATCTCCATGCTTATGAAATTTTTTTTTTTTTACCTTTTCTTTGAGCGCTCTGATTTGTTCGTAATCGTGCCGTCGTCGATTGGTGGGCAGATTTGATGCGTGGAATCGAGGCGAGGGTGGAACCGTCCGATGAGAAGCCAGCGCAGTGTCAGCGCCCCAGCGACTACATCGCCGGGTGCCGCGGTTGCACCGTCGACCAGTGCACGGCCGGCCTCTGCGTCTGTGGATGCGCCGACGGGGCGCGCAAAGTCCCCGATATTGTGTTCAATTAGCCCTCCCGATCCGAATGATGTATTAGTGCGCAAGCGGATTGTAGAGGAATGCAGTAAATGCAACGAGGTTGTGTATACTTTTCTGGGAATAAAGGACGGTCGATGAACATTTTGTGAGCTTCGTACGGCAATTCAATCATCATGTGCTGGTATATGCCCATTGGAAATCATGGAGGGACCGATTTGTCACTCCTTGGTATGTTTACTTAGGGATGAATTTTTCGTTGAGCGATCAATATTCGCCATCGCAATAATCTTACGCTCTGCGAAAACTCGTTCATTATCGACGTATACCTTTCGAAAAAATTCGTTGTTGGGAAAAATTTAATGAATGTTTCTCATAGCACCAAAACTTCCTGCGGTTAGCAAAATTCACGACATCCGGACGGGAAAAAAAGACGCTCATCTAAATTTACTCGAATTGGACGAATAATGACATCGATATAAAAGGATAAACTTTATCGATTGTCTTTATATTTATAGGGTAAAATGACAAAATTTCAGGGTTTAATGAGTAAATAACCAATGAAGAAATTTCATGAACAATTCAAACATTATACTTTGCCTTCATTTATCATGTCAAATATCTGGATAGAAGGAAAACACCTCAAATATATTTTCCACTTTCTTTCCAACACTTCATTTGTCAAGTAAAAATATTGTTTTTCCCTATTTTTCTTAACTAGCCTAAATAATTAGATTAGCCTGATACAGCAAGTAATCTTTGCTTGATTGCCAATTGCTTCGCCGTCATTGCAGGCTCCTGTACATCTCTCTCTCTAACATATTAAAAATAGAGGTAAGTGCACTGAAAATTTTAAAACTTATCGCGAAAATGCATTTGAGTCTTAAAACTTTCAAAAAGTGCAATCGAGTCACAAAACTTGTCACAAAAGTGCAATCGAATCCTAAAACATTCAAAAATGCAATCAACGGAATGACTTGATTAGATCAATTTAACAAATTTTAAGACTTGATTGCACTTGTTGAAAATTTTAGGAGTTAATTGCACTTTCGTGATAAATTTTGAGATTTAATTATACTTTTTAAAAGTTTTAGTATCTAATTATACTTTCGTGACAAGTTTCAGTACTTTCAATGCACTTGTCTCGAGAAAAAGTTAGTCCCATGATTTGGACCCAAGCGCAATGAATTCATCGTGCCAACTCGTGACTGATGGAGACAACTATGATCCTGTGTTCGTGTCCAGGTTCGATGAAGGGGACCCGAACCTAGGGTGGAGCTATTGAGGGCGGGGCAGCTGTAGCGCTAGCGACACGGGAGGACGGCTATTGCGAAATGCGGACGCGCGCGCACGGGCGGGCATGGGGCGGGCACGGCCCACGAGGCCCCGGGGCGTCGAGTCGAATCCGCTCCGACCCTCCACGATGCCGCTCAACCGCGACCGGGGTTTTATTCCAAAGGAACTACTTGGCGAGTGCTGATGAGATGGCGTATTAATTTGATGCGCAAGTTTTTTTTTCTCTTTTCATCATCGAATTCTAGCGTTTGCAAACGCTCGTTTCCCCCGCGATTAGTATTTAATCGGATCGACGCGCGTGCGCGGGGGTGGCGACCGCGACCGTGACCGAGCCGCGATCCGGCGCGTTCCATTTCAATTCCTCGGCGATTAATTCGGACGAGCCCAGAAACTTAGGTGGGCACAAGCACGACACCCCTCCCCCACCTCCCCCCTTCCTACCCTTGTGCGTGTGGCTCTGTGGGCCCCAACTACCTAATCCTTCTCCTTCGCTTCACTGCCATTTCTTGTTTTCAACAAATCGATCTCCTCCTTTTCCCCCAAACAAAAAATAAAAAAAAATAAGAAATATTTTAATGAAAATGACTACGTTGAACATTTTTCGTATAGTACAAGAACTAAATTGAACATGTACCAAAACTTCATGGACCACATCGAACAAATTAAAAGTTCAGGGACTACATCGAACAAATTAAAAATTCGGGGGCCAAATTGCACACCGGACCAAAGTTCAGGGACTGTTTGTATCATTATCTCTAAAAAAATCCAGAGGCATGTACGGCGGGTCTCGCAAATCTTTTTCTTATGTGCAGTTGGCTCGATCCAGCAGAACGATCCCCCGGGGCAATATTTGCCCGGTCGGTTCAATCACCCCCTAAGAAATCGGACACGGGTTCCGTCAGTCTAGTTCTTTGCTTGTTGATCTTCTCTTCTTTTTCATTTCTTTCATCATGAAGTAAAACCGGTCTTCTATTGAATTTTGACAGCATAA